AAAGTTTGCAACTCTTGCCCTAAACTATAAACTTTAGTGTATAAGATTGGAATTTTCTTTTTATTTCAAGGTACCCAAATTTACAGTAATTGCCTTTCAATGTTCTACTTTCCCCTGGCATTTCTTTGGTCTTATATGGACTGGGGTTAAAAACAAGTCTATTATTCTTTATATTTAATCACCAAAATTTCTCTTTTTCATCTCTGTGCCTTAAATGAAACATATTCATGTAAAGATTTTAGAATTTCATTTCCAAAGACATTCAGTTAAATATTGCAGTATTGTAAGAAATAGTAATACTTTACTCTTTATGCCAAAAATCTATGTGCTTATAGAAATAGCATGTACTGTATTAATATGCAAGTTATGTATCAATCAGTTAATCTGCAAAGATTTGTTTGACAGGTATAGGTGAATTATGTAAGGGAAGTGGCTTGAAATGAGGTTTTGAAGGATGCCTATGAATTTAAGGTAGATAAGGCTGGGGCTAAGGTAACATCAAGGCAAAGAGAACAAGATTTGTAATGCTACTAAGCTGTCAGTAGGATCACATAGTTGGGAAATGAAAGAAATTCAGTGGCTGGAACACAATTTGGAGAAAAGTGGCTGGAGTTGAGTCAATAAAGACCTGCTGGCCCAGGCTGAGAAGGCTGTTTTATATGCCACACAAAGGAGTTTCCATCTTACAGGCAGTGAGGAGCCATTTTAGATTTTTATACTGTAGAGCCAATGTGATTGGATCAGTATTTTAGAATACAGACAGCACTCCCTAAATTTTTTTAATGCTATGAATATACCCCTGCATGTCCTATTTATAACAAAATTTTCATTGAGGGGAGGATATATAGACAATGCCCTAATTACCCTAGGAAATTATATGGTATGTAAACTTTTGTGAGCAGGCTGTTAAATAACTGAAATAATTTCAGGATTTCAGAAGATTAAGAAGTTACTTCTATAAAGTAAAAAAATAATCTGTCTGGCCTCTCCTGGGTACACAGAACTACTTTAAGACCAAACATAATATATATGTTTGCATACTGCACCAGTTTTATATATGGCTTATAAAAACTTTATAAAAACTTGAGATAGACGTTTAGTTATGGACCCTTTGAACACATGTAGATTTTCTTTTCTTAGATATTTAAAAAACAATGTTTAATGCTTAGCATTTTTTCAATAAAATTAGTGTATTTATTTTGAATGTAAAGAATTTGATTAAAACTATATCTCACTTTAAACATTGATTTAGATATATAATAAAAATAGTTTTCCAGGTAAAATTGTTTCACATTTATATGGACCTTTATATTTGCCACATTATTTTCATAAAAATGATCTCATTTCATTCTTACAATAATCTCTGTGATATAAATAAAAGAATTCTTTACTCCATTTTATAGATTTGAAGTCTATATCTCAGATGGATGATCTGAACATACTCTTCCCTGTAGAGGAAAGGGAGTATGCTCTGTGATCAGATAGAATTGCATTCAAATCTCTGCCCTTTTCTTTGTTAACTGTGTGTGCACTTGGAAAAGTCACTTAATCATTAGGAAACTCAGTTTTCCCAGTCGGAGTTAATTGTACTTGTCCCACAGGAATATTACGGAAATTTCTTTCTGATAATACATGTGACATGCAAAGCATAGTAAATGGGAAGTGCTGATATGATTATTGTTGCTAATATTAATCATCATCATTAATAAGGGTCCAATACCCATTATTCACATTTTTTTTTTCAAGATTTTATTTATTTACTTGACAGAGAGAGACACTGCTAGAGAGGGAACACAAGCAGGGGGAGTGGGAGAGGGAAAAGCAGGCTTCCTGCAGAGCGGGGAGCCCAATGCGGGGCTCGATCCCAGGACCCTGGGATCATGACCTGAGCTGAAGGCAGACGCTTAACAACTGAGCCACCCAGGTGCCCCTATTCACATTTTCAAAACCCCAAAGTTCTAAAAAAAAAAAGTTCTGCAAAATTTTTCCCCAAGTTTTGCATGAACTCAATTGAGGAAAGACCATATTTAACATGACATGGGACTATTTATATAGTGTTTACTTTTCTAGTCAGTGTCAATAGTGATAAGATTTTGCTATGAAATATTAACGTGCTCTCTCTACATTCCTCCAGGATTGTTTTGTAATTACAGTAAATGGGACATATTACCTCTCTGTAATCTAAAAACCTTCAAGACACAACTGGCCCAACATTTTAGATAAGACCTATAGATATATATTATTATGATTCTTTTATTTTAATAACCTTATTGAAATGTAATTCACAACCATTAAATTTATTATTTTAAAATGTACAATTCAGTAGTTTTGTAGCATATTCACAAAGTTGTGCAACCATCACCACTACATAGTTTTAGAATATTTTCATAACCTCAAAAAAGAAACCCTGTACCCATTATCAGTCATGCCCCATCTCTTCTGCTCTCACTCCCAGCCTTACGTAACTGTTAATCTGTTTTCTGTCTGTATAGATTTTCTCATTCTGGACATTTCATATAAAGAGAACAACAGGAATGATGTATTAATTGGACTTTTGTGACTGGCTTCTTTCACTTAGCATAATGTTTTCAAGGTTCACCCATGGTGTCACATGTATCAATATTTCATTCCTTTTTATGGTGCAATAATATTCCATTGTATGGTTATATCACATTTTATTTATCTATTCATCATGGATTGTTCCACTTTTTGGCTATAAGAATAATGCTGCTATGAACATTCATGTACAAGTTTTTATGTGGACATGTGTTTTCATTTCTCTTGGGTAAATACCTAGGAGTGGAATTGCTGGGTCATATGGTTACTCTATGGTTTTGGGAGGAACTGCCAAACTGTTTTGAAGATGGCTGTGCACCATTTTACTTTTCCACCAGCAGTGTATGAAGATTCTAGTTTCTCTACATCCTCACTAACATGTCTTACCTTATTGTCTGTCTAGTGAAGTGGTATCTCATTGTGGTTTTGATTTGAATTTCCCTAGTGACTAATGAAATTTACCATCTTTTCATGTGTTTATTGGCAATTTGTTTTTAGTCTTTGAGGAAATCTCTATTTAAATCCTTTATCTTTCTAAAAATTGGATTATTTGCATTTTTACTGTTGGGTTGTAAGAGTTCTTCATTCTGGGTATAAAATGCATATCAGATATATGATTTGCAAATATTTCCCCCCATTCTGTGGGTTGTCTTTTCACTTTCTTGGTCATGTACTTTGGAGCACAAAAGTTTTTCTTTATTCTGATGAAGTCCAATGTGCCTATTTTTTCTTTTGTTGCTTGTATGTTTGGTGTTATATCTAAGAAACTATTGCCTAACCCAAGGTCATGAAGTTTTACTCCTGTTTTCTTCTAAGCATTTTTTAATTTCAGTATTTACCTCTAGGTCTGATTCTTTTAAGTTAAATTTTGTGCTTGGTAAACAGGACTTTGATGTAGGAAAGATGTTAAGATTCAGAGCCGACGGCTGAGAAAGAATTCTTGAGATGTCTTTGGTTTTATTAAAGCACAGGGATAGGACCCGTGGGCAGAAATAGCTGCACAGGGGTCATGGGGAGTGGCTGATTATATCCCAACTTTCAAGTTGGGAGGGGGTTAGGGATAGTGTTAAGTCTCTAAGGAATTTTGGAAGCAAGGTTTCCAGGACCTTGAGGGGACTAGCTATTGTTGGGAAAAGGTCATTTATTATCGTCTGTTGGTGGGTCATATGCTTGGGGGATGATTGCCAACATGTATCTAGGTGGGGGGGTGGGTAGAGATAAAGGAAGTTTCCAAAGAAATTTGTATATGTTAAAGTAGACTTACAGGATCCTGGGGTCAGGCTAAGATTGCCTTTTGCCCTTAGCAAAGTATTAACATCAAGGCAGTTGAGTCCCTAGAGGAATGTCACTGCTTGTTTCAAGGACTTGGCAGTGGGCTGTAGGTAGTAAGGAAATTTAATTTTTCTTTTTGCCTTTGTTTCCCATGTCAGACTTCAATTTTATTCTTTTGCAGCACTATTTTTAAAAGACTATGTTTTCTTATTATCATGCTTGAGCTTGATTATTATCACTATTTAAAAACAGCCTAAAGGTTGCAAGCTATTTTTAATGATATGATTAGAATTAGTGAAACTTGTGTTCTCAAATGCTTGGGGTTAAATTTTGAATTGGTGTTATTATTATGAGACAGTGGTTTGGAACCATTTAAACTTGATACTCTTATCTATATAAGAGCAATTGCAATATAAAACTAGAGATAAGTTCAGTGCCTGGCACATAATAGGTATTCAGTAAATATTTGCTGAACAAAAATGAATAAATCATATATTATCTGATTGTTTCCTTTGTTACTTTTTAATGGGCATTTAGTTTAGAAAGTAACATATTTAAACAATTATGGTTAAATAAATACAATTATTTTTATAGGTTGACCCTGTATAAATTGCACTAACAGAGAACAAATTCAAATTGGTCTCTTTATATTCATACTCAACTCTAAAATATAGTGAACACATCCCTAACTACTTTTCAGATAATCACTATACAATAAACCATTTGTAAAGTGTGATCTGCAGAAATAAGGTTACTATTATTACAGTGGAAAGGGGGTCTTTAATTAAATAAATGTCAGACACACTGGGTCAAGTAAATTTAAATAGGCTTTCCTATTACAGGATTTCTCAGAGCCTTGTTTTTGAAGGTGAGCCTTGTTTTTGAAGGTGTGCCTTGTGAAAAAGGGGCATGGGCATGATAGGCAACATTTTCTGAGTATATTTGAGCAGAGAAACTTAATTCAATTGAATGTATAACAGACTTAGCAAACCAAGAAACACCTCTTGGAAAAAGCTACTGCAGTGATTTTATTTTGTGGGTATTAGGGCACTGGAGGTCATCCATTTATAATGTTTCCATATACTCTACTTTGAATTCCAGTAAGAAAAAGCAACCAAGAGCATTGTTATTGGTATCTGGAATTGAATTTGCCAGGAATGCAAGCACAGCTTCCTCAGTAAAGATCTTGCCTTTGGAAACATCTTACCCCTTGGCAGCTCTCCAGAGTTCAGACTTGGCAGCATCAAGGACACAACACAAGGTGTGTTTATTTGATTTAACATTTGGCAAAAGGTATTTTGACTTGTGGTTTGTTTTCTTTCACTTGTTTTTCTTGTTTTGGTTTGTTTGCTTCTGGCAATGAACTTGAGTTTGGAATGTAGTTCTTTCTTATGGAAGACAGTATTACAATGGGGGAATGATTTTACTTATTTTTTTTTTGTGGTATTTGGGCAAATCCAAGTAAATAAAGCAAGATCCATAGAGCTATAAATCTATATCTGATTTATTTTTTAAATCATTTAGTATTATTGTCTATTAGGATTTGTTTCTACTTTAAATACTTGATCTCTCTTGTGTTTGATACACTATGATACTTTGGTACATTGCTATATTTTGGTAGTTATATTTGGATTATAATCAATGTCTCTATATAGTAAGTAATGAACAGATTAAGATCTTCATAAAATGTCATTCAATATAATTTTTAATCTTTCTTGATTAATTGGTATATCTGCATTCACCTGTTTTGTGGGAAGAGGAAATATGTTATACAATCAAAAATATGGGCCCCCATTATATCTCTGACCTTATCTTTTGCTGTCCTCTTCCACCTCTTCCTCTGCTCAGAATTTTTCAATGGCTGTCTGTTTCACTCAAGATAAAAGCTAAAGCTCTTAAACTGACCTATATGTCTCTGCAAGAGATGGTTCCTTGTTACTGCTCTAATCTCATCTCTAATCACTTGCTCAGCCATACTGGCTTCTTTGTTGTTCTCTGAACATGCCAGGCATGTTCCCATCTCAGGGTTTTTATACTATTCTCTCTACTGAATTGCTCTTCCCTAGATACCTGCATAGCCCATTTATTTACTTTCCTTTGGGTCTTTATTAAAAGATCACCGTTTAAATGAGATCTAACCTGGTTACCATCCAAATATCCCTGCTCTATATTTTCTACTTAGTATTTATCACTATATAATAAACTATATATTTTATACTTATTTGTCTTGCTTATTGTCATTATCCTTCACAAGAATGTCAGTTCCTATGAGTGCAGGTGTTTTTGTTTGCTCTGGTTTTACTCTGTCTCTAGCAACTAGAGTAGTTCTTGGTCCTTGATGAGTGAATGAATGAATGACCAGTTAATTTAGCAAACATGGTAAGTGTCTCACTTACCATGAGTGAGGCACTATGCTAATTAGTGACCCTACATGTGGTGTCTAAATGGAGTGTCTCTTCATCGGAGCGGGGGGCGATGATTGGGTAGAAGCCATGGCATAGGGGGTGAAAGAATTCACCTGAGGCAGAACAAAGGAAACAGAAGTTTACTGAATATACTGCAAGGGAGAGGTGGGCAGAACAGCAGAGGAGAGGCTTTCTGCAATGAGGTGGTGAGTGGAGGCTGGTTTTAAAGAGGGAAGGTGAGGAAGTATGCCCTCCTATGGAATTCTCTATTTTGGTATCTGTGCCTAATTGTAAGTAGCCCACTGGTCAGTTAGGGCCTATGGGTATTTTGAGGTGGGTCTCCTGATGGGCCTTTCTATATTCCATTGCTCAAGCCTGTTTGCCTAAAAGCTGCCTCTGCAATACAGGGATGAAATACACAGTTCCTGCCTTCAGAAGTACTGTTTGAAGGGAGATGGATGGTTACAGCAGCCATCTTACTACAGTGTTGTGTTGTGGTGAGAGTATGAATACAAAGCTATCATCACGTGGAGAAACAGCATTTGAATCAGACTGTGTTGGGCTCATGGAAGGCTTCCTGAGAAAGGTAACCTTTTTTTTTTTTTATCAGCTGGAATAGCCTAGGTTATGCTGTGGGAACAAACAAGCCCAATTCACAGTGTCTTAACACAACAAATGTTTATTTCTCACAGAGACTACATGTCCAAAATGTGTTGGTAGGAAAGCTCATGTACTTCCATGATCCAGAGGCAGTAGTGGGAAGAGAGTGGCTAATTATGCACTGGCATTTAGAGTTTTATTGGTCAAAACAAATTTCAAAAGGGGGACTGTGAAGTGCAATATTGTCTCTACCCAGAGGGAGAGGAAAATTGGAAGATATGTGAGTAGAATTAATGAATGTTATACCTTTCTACTGTTTTAAAGGAGTATAAGATATCTAGGTAAAGAAGTATTTGAAAGTATTTCAGAGAAAGGAAGAGCATGGGTAAAGGCAGTAAGTTGTTACGTAGTGTGATAATTTCAGGGAACTGTAATTCAAAGTAGTTAGAGCACAGTGTTGGTGTGGGATAAAGATAGGTTAAAGAAATCAGGGGGAGAATAGGGGTTAGATTATACCAAACTATGGGATTAGAACTCCATCCTAAAGGACATAGGGAAACACTGAATGATATAATATACTTCAGGGGAATTTCTTGATTAAACTTAATTTATGAAAGATTATTCTAGAAGCAATATGGGGCATGGTTTGAGGGGAGCAAGACCAGAAGCAGTAAGACCAATTATGATACTAATGCAGTAATGCTGGTGAGACTGCAGATGAAGGCAATTACAGAGAAAATGATAAAGGAGCGGAACAAAAGGTAAAAAGGCAGGGAAAGTATATACATGGGGGTGGACTCCAGGGCACAGAGGGAGCCATGGTGGAAGACAGGACACTTCATTCACTGAGATTATAGTAGACGTAATGGCATGAACAGTGTCCGTACCTTAGCATGTGTGTGTGGATTTATGTTTGGTGTGTGTATAAATGTGGATGTTGGTGTGTGAGAGAATGAGTTAGAATAAGCTTGCAAGTGAGCGATTCTTACCTAGTGATCTGTATTTTCTTTGTGACTTGGGAAACCAGCTCATGTGCCTAGAATAAAATGAAGATGGGTGGAAGACTTCAGGAGAGCCCTGAAAATTGTAATGGCTACTGAGTCCAATGGGACATACAGCTAACTTGGGGTAGAGAGGTTGCTGGGAAGTGTTATGCCCTTGTAAAAAATCAGATTATACATTTTACTGCAGAAATTGCTTTGGGAAGCTCAGTTGCTTTTTCTTTAAATTGTTTAGAGTTCAGTAATAATTAAAAAATATACATTTGAAAAGACTTTTGTGTATGCTGCTAAAATTAGAGGGACTCATGAGATATAATCTAATTCCAGCCCCAAAATTTTGGTTAATGTTATAATAAGGACCCAATTATTTCATAACAGAGGGAATACAGATTTCTAAAGTAGTTACCCAGTGCTTTTATAAAATCATTCTTTTATGATATGCTTTAAAAGAAAGTAGTATAATGTGACAGTGAAGTTTAATTTTTGAAAAGAAGATAGAGAAATGATTGGAATACTTGTGATATTTTTCTTAAAGGTTTTAGAAGACATTGCTTGGAATGTTCTATAATTTAAAGGATATTCTAAAATCATGTTTCTTGTTTGCCATTGTGTATTAGACCTGGGGTTAAAATATTTGGGATGCTGGGGTGCCTGGGTGGCTCAGTCGGTTGAGTATCTGCCTTTGGCTTGGGTCATGATCCCGGGGTCCCGGGGAGCCTGCTTCTCCCTCTCCCTGTGCCTCTCCCCCTGCTTGTGCTCTCTCTCTCTGTGGTCCAATGAATAGGTAAATAAATCTTAAAAAAAAAGAAAATATTTGGGGTGCTATATTTATTATTGCAAATTAAAGTTTTGAGACCTTGATGATAGAATCAGTTTTATATAATATCAGACCATTTCCCTAAGAGAACCATACTGACCTGCTCAATGCATGTGGTGGGAATATAGATACATATGGATATAGATATATAAATTTCATATATGTAAACTTAGTACAACTTAGTACAACTCCTGAGGAGGGAATAACAAAGAATTGATGGGAATGTTGACCTGAAAAGATTCCTTTCTTAGATTGGAGGGTAATTTGGAACTCTTGACAAAGATTAGAGATAACAGTTATTAGTTTTAAAACTGGGGACTAGTGTTTAAGCCTGTTTGTTTGTTTGTTTAGAAGCCTACCATTTTACAAAGTGTTTTTGAGTACTGACTATGTGCATATACTGTAAGCATGAAAGTGGTACTCTCTTACTCCAGAATTTCCAATGCTTACTGACAATAAAAGAGCATGTGTAATTTGGCATCTTAAAAGTTAGTCCAAAGATACTTTTGTTACAGCCACGTAGCTGATACTAGAAGATAGTTAGGAGACCAAATAGTAGCAGAAAAGTGTACAATTTATATGTAATTAAGTTAATACAGGCATGGTATATTCTGAGGCAATTCTTTTTTTTTTTTTTCTTATGTTAATCCCCATACATTACATCATTAGTTTTAGATGAAGTGTTCCATGATTCATTGTTTGTGCATAACACCCAGTGCTCCATGCAGAATGTGCCCTCCTCAATACCCACCACCAGGCTAACCCATCCTCCCACCCCCCTCCCCTCTAGAACCCTCAGTTTGTTTTTCAGAGTCCATAGTCTCTCGTGGTTCATCTACCCCTCCGATTTCCCCCGCTTCATTCTTCCCCTCCCGCTACCTTCTTCTTCTTCTTCCTTTTTTTTTTCTTAACATATATTGCATTATTTGTTTCAGAGGTACAGATCTGAGATTCAACAGTCTTGCACAATTCACAGCGCTTACCAGAGCACATACCCTCCCCAGTGTCTATCACCCAGTCACCCCATCCCTCCCACCCCACCCCCCACTCCAGCAACCCTCAGTTTGTTTCCTGTGATTAAGAATTCCTCATATCAGTGAGATCATATGCTACATGTCTTTCTCTGTTTGACTTATTTCGCTCAACATAATACCCTCCAGTTCCATCCACATCGTTGCAAATGGCAAGATCTCATTCCTTTTGATGGCTGCATAATATTCCATTATATATATATACCACATCTTCTTTATCCATTCATCTGTCGATGGACATCTTGGCTCTTTCCACAGTTTGGCTATTGTGGACATTGCTGCTATAAACATCGGGGTCTGAGGCAATTCTTGTACTCTAAGAACCTTAACTATAAAGGAGCTCATTTACTTTTTCAATGAATGTGAGTTCATCAAGTTCAGGGGTTTTTTGTTGTTGTTGTTTATAAAAACCATTTGGACTATGTGGCACCTCAACAGTGAGTAACTGATTAAACCAGCATGACGTAATGATACTAATAACATTTAATGAACACTTACTATGTGAGAAGCACCATGTTAAGTACTTTATATATTTAGCTATTTAATTTAGTGCTCACAACAGCAGTATGGGATAGGTATTCTTACTGTGCCCATTTTAAAAATGGTAAGTGAGCTTAGCTTGGTAAACAACTAAAAAGTGATAGAACCAGAAAGGAAATGAATTAAAATAGACAGGAGTTAACCCACCCTTTATCAGGCTCATATTCTATAAGAGATAGAGAATATATAGTAATATTTTAAAACTCAAAGCATTTTTAATTGTTTATGATAACTAACCATAAAATATGGATGATTTAACTTAAGGTTCTGAAAAAAATTTACTCAAAAACATGTATTGAGTGTCTGCTGTGTGTCACAGTTTTCTAATTGTTTCAGACTCTTAGTATATAAAAACAAAGATCCCTACTCTTGTGGTACTATGTTCTGGTGGATGGAATTCAGAAAATAAACAGTAGAGTAAATTTAATATGAAAAAGCCTTTTTAAATATTTTTAAATAGTTGATAGATCTAAGGTAAAACAACTTTTCTGTTGCAACGTTGATAATCTAATTGTTCCCATCATTTTGTGGTGCCTACATCAAATCATGAAAAGGATGAAATATTGATTGTTATGAAATGGTCATTTATTTTAAATAATTTGAGATTAAATATTATTGACCATTATTTTGAAGACATCTCTCCCTCTCCTCTCTCCTTATACGCTGAAGATGCAGCATTCCAAGAAAGCAATTAAATGTCATTTGTCATTTGTAAAAGAACTTTGTTTTGTAAAATTACAGACCTGGGTGATCTATGGCTAAAATGGAATGAAAGTGAATTAAAAAAAAGTCTTCAGACATATTTTTCCTATGAAGGACACATTTAAGTGTAGTCTTAGCACCTTAAAATAACAGGAAATGCTCATTATTGAAGATACAATTTTGCTCTTTTTGTTCAGCTATATCGGTGTGTCTTTATGTGTGTATGAGAAAAAGAGGAAGGGAGAGAATAAATATGAGAATGACTTATGTCAGGGCTTCCTAGGTGCCTTTGTTACAGTAGCTTTTCAGAATCCTACCACTGTAATTCCAGGAATTGGCTAAACATTTACATATATTGTTAAAATAGAGGACGCTATTTCTGTCTTGGGTTTCTTTTACTTTCTCTTAAGCGATCTTAGTATTGCTATACAGGATCTTCCTTTATGTATGCATCTCCAGTAGACCACTCTGCACCGTTCTATTTGGTAGGCCATCTTTCATTAATTCTCTCTTATGAATGCTTTAAGGAGTTAAATAATGGATACGGTTTATGGACTTCATTATTGAAGTAGTAATGATGTGGTACAGTGAAAAATTAAAATGTTCAATCACAAGGTCATTAACAAAGAATGAAAAATAATTAAGGGCAAAAGAAGAAAGAAGGTTTTAAGATAAAATCCAAACTTGAGTATAAGAAGACCACTGTGTTGAGAGAGACATTGGAAAGATTTTTGCAGAGGATAGAATCTGTATTAAAAGAAAAGTCCAGTTCTGTTAGTAACTAGATTTTTGCATAGAAGAGATAACATGGAAGTCTTTGGCATGGGCTGTAAAAAGGTTTTGGAAAAAGTAGAGGTAACAAAAGTGACAAATGTAGTTAAAAAATGAAGAGTAA